GGCCTGCCCTTGTGCCGGGGCCGGCCTCTCTGGAAGGAGTGTGTGCAGGGATCAGAAAAACGGTAGAAATCGCGTATGTTTCGATGCCACCGTTTCCCCTTTCTCCCCGAAGAATGCAGCCAGCCCCTCGGGCCACTCCTTTCTCCTTATCTTGTTTCGACATCTTCCCTTTTTGCCTCTCCCGCTTTGCTGCTGCTTCCAGCGTTTCCAGTACGCTCCAGCTTACTCCATCCCTTCCTTGTTCTCTCAGTCACAGTGATCTGGGGCTGAACGGTCACGCTTTTTTATTGGCAGTACTCGTTACGTTTTATAGATGCTTCTCAAAACAAAACAACAGGAAACAAGTACTGTTAGCCGGGAATGAGAACTTCAGGGTTACCTGCACACTCATGCAGATACTGTTGTATTGAAGACTTTGCTGCTAGTAATAAGGATTGGAAGAACTTCATTTAGCAAATTTAATTTTTTTATGTGAGCCAGAAAATTACACGTTTATCTTATGTTCAGTACAGTATTATAAGTCAAAGTAGAAATTTGCATTTCCTTTGTTTCAGTAATCTCTTGGAAGAGTAGTAGTCAAGGACCAGAATGATAGAGGTTCAGTATCTCAAGACAGCTGGCCAGAGTTTGTGTTCCAGTGGCATGATAGCAAGATTAGTAATAATTACATTTCTACTTGTGGAATATTTCTCAGGACAGAGTCTAGTGAGAAGAGGATCCTGATGTAGTCTTAGCAGGACAACTGCGTATTCCGCTTCGTGAACTGAAGATTTTGGCCAGTATTACTACTTGCTGTCTACAAGTCTCTCTGTCTCTCATCTTGCTGTAGTTGGTGTATATGTGTGTGTAAGAGAGAGTGGCAAACAAAAGCTAGTTGAACATTAATGCTTACCAGTACTGTATCTTAGTAGTAAGCCTAAATTAGCTTATGGTATAAAATGGAGAGACAAGGTGCACAAGGTTTTGTTTTTTAAAATTATAAAGGCATCATGCTGTTTTTTACTCTCAGAACTTCACTATGAAACCCTGCTTGTACAGTCACTCTTCCTGATGGAAGAATTGTTTGTTTCTTTTAGCAACCAGCACTTTCAACATTGGGAGATGGCTGTGTTGATAGCCAAGAAATTATTTCATCTTGTTTTTTTCTTTCCTCGCCACCTACCATTAAATAGGGTTGGGTTATGAAACACACCCTGTCAGGAAGAAAGCAAAGATGCTTAAGTTAGGAGAGTGCCAAGGTATATATTGCCAGTAGAATTATGTATATGTCTAACACTCCTATTCTTCTGTTTAAAGGAAAAATCTCAGGATTGCATGTATCTCCAATACTGTAAAGTGTGTCAGTCTTATAAGGCACCACGTTCACACCACTGTCGAAAGTGTAACAGGTACTGTCTTTCTTTAAAATTATTTTAAATCCATATTAAAGCAGCTTCAAATATGATGATGAGCTATTAATGTAGTTTATTCTTCCAGGTCTTGTATTGTGCTTTTTTAAAAGCCTTCCATATGAACACTGTACCCGTTTCAAATATTTCTACTTTCTAGTTGTATGATTTCCATTTTGTTTTATTGTGATTTTAGTTTAATAAATAAATCTGTCTCTAACATTTTCTTTTTAGCTTGACATCAGTTCCTCTTAAGAGCTTCTTGACGGTATTAACAAAACATTGCAGTACGGTTTCAGGGAAGTGAGCCTGGGTAAATACCTAAAAATCTTTCAGTCTGTTTCAAGTTCTGAGTCCAAACATTCACCTGCTCAGAGAGTGGAAAAGCCTATTCTGTCATCTTTCCTAATGGGAATTAAATGTTGATTTGAGTGGAAATTTTGGACTGTTCTTTACTGTTCACTAAAGGTTTTCTTGAGGGGAGTCAGCATGTTAGGTGAACTAATAAGCCTTTTGGGTCAACTTAAAAAGTTTGTGCCTTGTTATGTGTTAGTCTTCCATCAGACTTGCTTTGAGCTAAAGGACACTTTTATTATAAATAGCTGCACTGGAATTTAGTGCAGCTTGAAAAAAGCAAGCCACTTCAGATGTCTGCAGGCCAGGCTGTAGTTGTGTTTATCGTGGGTTTACTGGACGAGTCTTCCTCTGAAGGACAATTGGAGAACATGGTAAAAGGATATTGCAACATACGCATTCATTTGTTATTTCTATAAACACAAGATGCGCAGTCAGCGTGCTTTTAGGAAGTAGAGACTGAAACTGTAGAGCAGTGCTGTCATTTGGCTGCATTATCCTGAGATTTAAAATTAGATTCCTTTCCTTGAGTGACAGTCTTTACACTGAGGACTTAGTAGAAAATGGCAGCAGATCCTGATGATGGTCTTTGCAAAAGCAAGTTCTTTAAATGATTTAGCTTTTGTCAAATGAAACAGAAGAAACTGCAGCTCATTCTCCAAATCATTTTGCTGATATGCTTTAAGAATTTTCTGCCCCCTCAACTCTGGCCAAACTAACTCATTCCACCTGTATTTCTAGCCTGTTGCAGTGAAGTAGGTAGCTTAAACTACTGCTGAAAGTCTTCTATGCTATGGCAAGTTTCAGTGCATGAATGGAGTCACTTCTTATGGCCCATCTGAACCCGGGTGAAGTTTCTAGCTAAGATCTAGGAACTTCTTCAGAAACACTTGTGCTGATAATTACAATTGCGTGTTCAAGAACTTGTACAGTGGCAATTGAGCATATGCTAATGAAGAATAATTAATTCTTTAAAAGGGAGAAACTGAACTTCCTATTGGGAATGGACTAGCTTAAAAGGTAATGAGGTCAGTGGTTCCAAAACAATTAACTTTCATTTTCAGAGGAGCTGAATATTTGTGTAATTCAATCCTTTGTTTATCACTTAGGTTTGGTGCAGATGAATTGCAACATTACAATTAGTGACTTTTACACCTGTTAAGTTAAATCAATGCAATCTGGGATGTGGACAAATCTTTTATCAGGTGTTTTCTTGCACCTGTAAGCTAAACCAAAATAATCAGCTTTATATTTATAAAGACCCCACAGTCTTTAGGGTGTTTATGCGTGTTAAATAGATTTTTGGAAAGGACTTACAGTGGTGTAAGGTTGATACATAGCAGTTGATGAAGCTTTCAGAGGGTCTACTTCTGAAAAGAAAGAGGCATTAACACACTTCTGTCTGCGTATCTTTCTATGTTCTTTCTGTAATTAGTTCACAGGGGATTTGATATTTCCTTTATTTTCCTGGTGTGCTTATTTAAAAAACTTGTCAATAATATTAGTGCTTAATTATTGTGTTGATAGTTCTTACACATCCCATTCCTAGGCCCCTGTCTCCTGGCTCTGGAATGCGGTGTTTATTAGCAACTAGCAAGTTTGAGTAGAGAGGAGGAGGGATAACTAGGGAGGGTAGGACCTGGGAGCACTTTTTATTTTGCTTTCTTTCACTCTACAACATGAAATATCATTCTGGATAGCAATAAAAAAAGAAACTACTGTGTTGATGTCAGAAATTGGTGGGTTTAAATGAATGAATGGAGGTTGAGTAGTAGAAAGTTAGCTGTCCTTTTCTTTGAGCTTTTTGAAAAACATCATATATGTCCTTTATATTAATCAATATTTATTATTCACAGATGTGTCATGAAGATGGATCACCATTGTCCTTGGATCAACAACTGTTGTGGATACCAGAATCATGCATCTTTCACTCTGTTTCTCCTCTTAGCTCCACTGGGATGCATTCATGCTTCTTTCATATTTGTTATGACTATGTACACTCAGCTTTACAACAGAGTAAGAAAACATAATTAAATGCTTAAAATATTATTTAAGTCAGATGGGTAATTTATCTCTGGAAGTATGAGACAGTTTGGTTTCCTGAGAAGCAGCATGTGGAATTCCTTGTTATTCTTTCAACATGTACTCTCAGTTCTGCTCTCCGCCTGTGAGAAGTATGTTCGTTACTTGGAGGAAGATTCAGAGAAAGTTGTTTCTATTTTCTTTCCTTTTGTTTTTTCCTGTTGCTTGTCATAATCACTGGGAGTTTCCTAGAGCTTTGCATTGACTGAAGACAGTTTCTGAGTAGCACTTTAGAGAGAGAGAGAGAGACAGGCTGTGTTTTGGCTGGCACAGATACTAGCTGCTATTTATTTCCCACACACAAGTTAGATGCTATTTATTTTCTTTTTCTTGCCACTTTTTTAGAATTCTGTCCAATTCTTCAAGGGAAAAAAAAGTACATTATTTTTGGAACTAAAAATAAATTATGTTGGATTTGTTTTTAAATGGAAAAATTTAACTGCAGCAACAATGTGCAAAACTTGTTCTGGAATACATCCCTTATCTCAGGTCCATGGTTAAGATTACGAGCTTTGATTTCAGCCTTTGTGGTTGCAATGAAAAGCTTGAAAACATCAACTGAGTGTAACAGATAAAGGCTGTGTGTTGTATTTGCAGAGCGATAATGTTGAGAACTGCTATCTGCTAAAGCTTTCAGAGGAAAACCTATAGCATTTGCATTGAAAATGGGTACTGCGCTATGCAAACATTTTCTATCTGAAACTGGTGAATGCGTTTTTGTTAATCTGCCAGAGTCCAGATTTTCTTGCCGATTTTGGGCCTAACTTCTGGAGCTTGCAAGACGGCAATTTTGGTTTAGCTTTCCATCTAGAGAAGGCCTACATCTAGCAAAGAATGTATTTCTGAAGAGGAAAAGTCTTTTGAATGCATCTCTCTCTTTTTTTTTTTTTTTTTTCTTAATTACTCCACTTGCATTACAAACCTGTCAGAAGTTGGACACTTACCTTCAGAGCCAGGTTTCTTATTGGTAACTTGTTTCATTTCGGCAGTCGGAATGTTCTAGAGCTGAATGATATTTTCCCTTTGCAGATATCTTTTGGGTGGAGTTCTGTGAAGATTGACATGAGTGCAGCCAAAAGAGACCCTCGACCCATTATTCCCTTTGGACTGTCTGCATTTGCTGCATCTTTATTTGCCTTAGGACTGGCATTAGGAACAACTATTGCTGTTGGTATGCTGTTTATTATCCAGGTAAGTGTATGACTTCTGTTACAAAGAAGTTAAAAGCTGTAAGTTTTGCCTATTGTGGAGCAGAAACAGAATTCAGGATTGAGATAGGAGCAGTTTTTTAGAGCTTATGTTGCTACGTAACTTTTTCAGGGTTTCATGTTGCTTTCTCCCAGTTCCTCCATTGTTACCACAATTTTTTTAAAATTATTTTTCATGGGAGAACTTGGAGGTGAAAATCTCATGAACTAAGGAATCATGAGATGGGCTTTATAAACTCTCTGGAAAAGGCAAAATACTTGGTATTTCAGGAGTACGTGCCCCTATCTATCCTTGAAAATAGGTATAAATATGCCTGATCTGTTACTTCAAATGTTTGAGATCTTTGGAAGGAAACAAAAATACACATTTTAAGCATAAACGGAAATACGGTGTGATACTGTCTAAGTGTATAATTCTAGAGGATAGCATTAGCACGTATCTATGCTGAATCTTAATTTTGAATGTTTTCTATGTTTCAGTTAAGCCTGTAAAGGTTGCTTTGTTCTTTAAAGCAAATTTGGTTTGTTAAATGAAGTTTTCTTTGCCTAGCTGATGTATTTCTGCAGAAAATCAACACTAATTTCACTTAATGCTTTTTATTTTAGATGAAAGTAATTTTGACAAATAAAACTTCAATCGAGTCCTGGATTGAAGAAAAGGTAAGTTTTTATTACCGTATTCTTGTACCGTATTGTTACAAAGTTTATTCTCCATATTTATCAATTTCTTGTTTCACCTCTCTGGATTTAACCAAAGGTGTCATTTCAGTTCACCACTGACTTAACACGTACAACCAGCTTTTGCTTTACTGTCTCTGAAATTCACTGAAATAGTTGAGAAATCATTTAACTGCATAGGTTTTTCTTTTCTTTTTTGTTTGGGGGAATTGGTGTGAACATAGAAAAATATTTGCTTTTAAAAGACTTTGCTTATCTGCTTGGAATATGTGGGTGTTTTCGTCTGAAACTTGAGTTGTCTTTGCTTCTCGTTATGCCTGCCCGTGTCTTTAATTGTCCACCTCCCCTACCCATTCTAGGTGGCATGTTTTGGCTCGTGATTTTTCCTCATTTCCTACTTCTCTGATTAAACTTGTGAGGGTTTTCCTTGATTTTGAAGAAGTACTAGAAAATAATGAGATACCTAGTCTTCTCTCCTTTAAATTTCTCTTTGATTTCCATATCTTCATAGATGTTTTCACAAGATTTTTCAGAAGAAACATAGCCAAGCAGCAGAAGCTGAGTTTAGAGGAAGCAAAACTGACTCAATGTTTAGAAACTAGTTCAGTGCTACCAGGTTATTTTGAATAAGTCCACAAACATTTCATTATTATCTTGTCTTTCTTTTATTCTGTGTCAAAATTAGCTTGAGAATCTTGACTGTGTATAAGTACCTAAGTATTGTAATGCCTTCTCTTTGCACGGAATCTAGCTTAGCTAGATCCAAGTCCTATTAGACCTTTGAATAATAGGACAATGGAACATAAATGAAAGAAAACCCTGTTACAACTATATAGAAGAATTTGGAGTAATCTGTTTAAAATTTTTACTGTAAAACACAGGCTGCTAATATGTCCCTTCTGAAAACTGAACACAGACTGTAATACGTAAGTGTTTAATAAAAATGACATTATTGCAACAAAGAGATCAACTCTTCTGTGGCTGCTCCACTAGATGTCATCGTTACTGAAAGAATGAAAAGTTCATGACTGCAGAATGTGGGAGATTCAGAGCATGCCTGTATATGCAATTCTTGGAGGTGGAATAGACATTACCAGTGTTGAATTATGATCATTAATCAAAGAATCCTGAGCTGTGGAAGTCTTTATATGTAACTGAGAAATAGTCAGGCATCAGTCCTTAAAAAAAGCCATAAAATAAAATCAGAGCATGGAGTGGATTAATCAGTGTAGCCAGTTGACTGTTGTTAAAGAGTAAAGGGCAGGGGGGGTGGGGCAGGGGACCCAAACCAGACACGCTTCTAAATGTCATGATTGTTGTAAGTAGTTCTAAAAGCCTGGTTAGTATAGCAGGAATTTACTGCTCTTGCCTCAAAATGTTTGCCTTTAGGTCTCATGGACCCATACAGGGCTTATGACCTGGCCTTCTTAATATTTGCTGCTCAATTGCAGTTTGTAGGGTATGTTTTTATGTACTGTATTTCTTAATTATTTTCCAGGCCAAAGACAGAATCCAGTACTACCAAACGGGTGAGACCTTTATTTTTCCCTATGACACGGGAAGTAAATGGAAGAACTTCAAGCAAGTGTTTACATGGTCTGGGATTCCTGAGGGAGATGGCCTGGATTGGCCAGTAAGAGATGGCTGTCATCAATACAGTTTGACAGTAATTGATCTTTGATGATATCTCAAGTTAATCCTCCTCACTATCCAATTGCCTGCTTTCCTTTGCAGTAATATACCAGCTTTTTAAATAACTAAAATAGACTGACTAGTAACCATATACTTAAGGAGCAGGAGTTCTGTCAAACATTCTCCCATTTTTGATAGACTAAAAAAATTACGCTTTTGTGAGTGCCTTTGAATGCTAATGATATTTCCTGTGTTTGTTGAATGGTTTCAATACCTGACTTCATTTTGTGTTGAATACCCGAGTCGTCTTAAACTAAACACTGCCTAAATTTGTATTTATAATCATTTATAGATAGAGCAACTGAAACAGAAAGCAGACAAGCGAGTAAGAAGCGTAAGTATTTGTGAAGTTTGGTCTGAAATGACTTTGAAATATCAGTATAAATAAATGTAAGTAATTGCTGAGACTATTTATTTTCTTGATTTTAAACTTAGCAATTAAATAAAGACTTTGTGTTGCTACACAAACAGTGTGCTGCAACCTCTGCTTAATTAAACTTAGTATTTAGCTTTCTTTGCGTTTGCTCCTTAGCTTCCAGATGGTAAGAAATGTGATAACAAAGATGACTGTGCTTCATTGCTAAGCAGTTAATTTAGAATTTAGAGTCCCTTTGACAGCCGTTGTCATTATGCTCAAATCTAACAGTATGCTTGAATCGATTTTTTGCTATGAAACTCTCAGCAAGGCCGTAACTCCTTACAATAATATATTGCCGTGTTCTGTTCAAATTTGTAGGTGCGGTATCGAGCAGTAGAAGATTACAGTGGTGTCTGCTGTCCTGTGACTAAAGGTGTTGAAACATTCTTCACAACACCATGCACTGAAGAACCTAGAATTGCACTAAGTAAAGGGGATCTGATTTTAGCCACAAGAGGCTTAAAGTTAGTGGCTCCACACATTTATGTTTGGTTAAAAGAAATATTGAGATGGGTTCTGGCATCTAACTACCTATTATGCTTTCTTCCCCAGACACTGGATGTATGGTGAGAAGATTCTCGACTCAGCTGCTGATGGTATGAAGCAGTTATTTTCACTTTTGCTGTTGAAAATTACAAATCAATTTTGTAGCTGTCTAGAAATGTGGACAATATCACATGTTCAGTTCTCAAAATGTATAATGACTGACCTTATTGGCATTGGCTTCTCTCCCCTTTAAAACCACATCCACAGTTTTTACTCATTACATCTGGTAGACTTGCCAGTTTTGATAAACATTAAATGAATCCGTCAGACTGAAAGAACACTCATCTAGTAGTTTATTGAAGGTTGAGTGGGAAGGGGGACACTACTTCATATTCTAAGAAAAAGTTAGCCTTTTAGACTCTAAAGAGGTTAATGATATCTTTTTTTTTTTGATATTTAAATAGTGGTCTTTCTTAAACACATTCAGATTTCCTACCTAAACACTTTATATACATATAAGGCCTGGGATTACTCTTTGTACATCTTAAAAACAAGGAGACATTATGTCTTTGGTTTGGGATCATTTCCAAGGACTTTGACATGCATTAACGAAACTAACAATTACAGCTATCAAAAATGTTAAAGACTCCTGCTGGTCTGCAGAGAGACAACATCACAGCCACCTGCATTGAAATTTTTACATTTTTTACTTTAGCCCTCAGCTAAAATCTTACCTGCCAGACGGGGCATTGGATTCTGTTGTCTCTTCCAAACAATTGTTAATTCATTGCATGTACATTCCGTGTTGGCAAAAGAGAGGCAGCCAACAGTCACTACGTTGGAAGTGTCCATGCTTTTCATGGGAGGTCTGAGACCTTCATGGACTAGAAGTGCTTCGGCAGCTCACTCCAATGAACTCTTTCAAACATCAAACCTAAATGAGTCATTGAAATGAGCATGGTAATAGTTTGTATTGCGTTGCTTATTATGAAGATTAGCAGGAGATATCTGTGCTATATCAAATGTTTTTTTTAAAACGGGTGAAATGTGGTCTGGGTGGGGAACTTGGTGTATACTGAGAGGCTGGATTAGAATTCAAAATAACATTGGCATTTTGGAGAACTAGGCTTCAAAAAAAGGATGAGGTGTTAAGAGCGTATAGCAAAATGCTACACATAGGCAGGAATAACAAGCTGCACTATAACAAGATGGAAAAATTAATGATTAAGTAGCAGTTCTGAGGAAAAAAGAGTCAATCATAATCTTAAGATGAGTCAACACTTGCAAAAAAGAAGAATCTCTGCATAGAGAAGGTTGTTAGCTGCTTCCTGTGTCTCTGGTGTGTAGAAAGAGGAGTTGTGAACTTGAATTATAGACAGAAAGATTCAGACAGGGTATTAGGAAAACTTTTTCTCATAGTAAGGAAGGTAGAGCACTGGAAAACATTTTAGGCAGTGGGAGAGAATCCATGCATCCCCAGGCAGTGCTGTTAGGAATGACTTAGATGTCCTGCCTTGGAGAAGAAAATAACCTAGGTAACCTCTTGATGTCTCTTCCAGTCCTGTGTTTTTCCTCTGTAGTGGGTCATGTTTTGTCCCAAGTTAATGCGACTTTTCATGTCTTAAGGTGGGATAAGAGAACGAGGCTGGTTCCCTAGGAAATGTGTGGAAAAATGCCAATATGACTCTGAAACGGATCAACCAGTGGATGGAGAGAAGAAAAACAGATAGCCTTCTCATTTTTTTTAAATAAGAAATGGAATTTTTACTTCAGACCACAATCCTTTACTTGAATTTTCTTGTGTATTACTTTAGACTTATGCAATGAATATGTTAGGACAAGGTTTTGTTTTACTCACAGCTGAAAGGGTTGGATATGCCTGTGCCATGGTTTGCATACTTTTTTAACAATAAATAATTGAAGAAGCCATTCAGTGGATTGCCTTCAAGATGCATCTTTTTCATCCCAAGTCAGATTTTTTTCTTTCTGCTGTTTAAATTGCATTCTGAGGGTTCATATTTTAGGTTTTTTCCTCAACCGCATCTGATTCTGATGCGTCCTGCTTATCTTCTGTGTTTTACTTTCTCTGAAGCTGCCCCTGAAAACTATAAAATAAACATCTGATTCAAACTCAAGATAAAATTTGTTACCTGTGACTTTTAACAATGTGAATTGTCCACCTCAAATAAATGATACGTTCATATTCACTTGTGGATTTAATTGTTGTTAGACCTATAGGCATGGGAATGTGAACTGACTGGGAAGTAAAGATTTCACTGTTATAAGCTGTTTTTCAAGGTTAGAAAGACTTTGGCTCTTGCTATAAGAATATTCTGTGCTTTTAATGGCAAAGAAATACAGCCAGCTGTATCTGCTCCCTCTGAAATCTGAGCATGTACCCAAGAGACTAGAGTTCTTGATCCATCTTAGAGTGAAAGGAAGCAGTAGTGCCAAGAATGAAAATTTTTGTGAGCCTAGTTGCTACTAAGTGATTAACACCTTTCCTAAAGCATTTTTAATTAGCATTTGGTACAGATTATTAGAAGGAAGACCTTAAAATGGAGTAACCTGTACCAACTGAAGACTTTCTAAATGTATCCTAAATGCAGCAGGTGGTTTTGTTCTTCCATAGTCTAGTTGCATGTCACATGTTGAGAGTTTTTGCAAATTACTGTTTTAAACTAACACCTGGTTTACCTCCACCTGCATGAGTTGTCTCAGGCAGATGAGCATTTCTTAAACAATGTTAAGTGTATATAGAAATAACTACATACAGACAAGCCAGCATTACTCCTGTATGCGCCTACTCAGACTCTATATCTCCAGCATAAAGCCAGTTTTTTGTTACCTCTAGCCAGTTGTACGTTAGTGCTGATGGTGAGCCATAATCCTAGGCTATTTCTGAGCTGTGGCAGTGGGGAGTTAATATTCAGTTTCAGTAGTTTGCAAGCAGGTGCTTTGTCCCTCCTGAAATCAAAGCACTTATTTTCTAGAGGCAGGCTTCATTAGAGGTATAGGAGTGTATCATACTCCTAGTTTCCCTGCTAGCAAGAGCTGAAAGGCCTTAACTCTGCGGGACGTAGCTATTTTTGAATATGACTAGAAATTAACATTAAAACCTCCAAACTGCATGGAATACTCTTAGTCTCAACTGTAGTAGTTTCTTTTCAGTGTCTGGAGTCTAGAACCAAACAAACATTACAAAAATAAGCTTGTCTTCCAGCTGAGGAAGCTGGCAGCAAAGGACCTCTTGTTCTTGACTTTGAAATGAATAAATAGCTGCTATCTATATTAGCAGGCAGCGATTAACAGTGTAGTAGGAACAGATTAACAGCCCTAATGACCACAGTTGATTGTTAACTGTGAAGAAGGGAATTTATGTGAACTGTGGTCTATTTATAGGGGACCGGATATCTTTTAGTGGTTGAAGAGCATGGGTTCATGAAGGGCAGGTCCTGCTTCACCAACCTGATCTCCTTCTATGACCAGGTGACCCGCCTAGTGGATGAGGGAAAGGCTGTGGATGTGGTCTACCTGGACTTCAGTAAGGCCTTTGACACCGTCTCCCACAGCAGTCTCCTAGAGAAGCTGGCGGCTCACGGCTTAGACAGGTGGACTCTGCGCTGGGTCAAAAACTGGCTGGA